ACAGTTGGTATACTCTCCTAAATCAGATATTATGTATCTAACTCTGCTCTCATCTCACTATATTATGCACTACTCTATCCCAATCTTAATTATGGTATCTGTGCATCGGGGGGTCAACCACTGCAAACCAAATCAAGCCCATCATCACCCAGCAAAAATCTGCTATCAGAATAATAACAAACTGCTTTCAGACAACACTCAGCTCCCTTGTTTAAATCCCTTAACATGCTAAATATTAACTCCCTCCACACATTCTCATGTGTCAACTACATTTACAAAACCCTGTTCTTAAATGCAAATCATGCTCTGAAACTCTCCCTGGACAGATGTAATAGTACCCATTATCACCACACCAGAAATAATTATCTCTTTGATATTCTCAGAGTCAAACTTAATCTGTGTAAACACTCTATGCAAATAAAGGGACCTAGTCTATGGAACTCACTCCCTAATGACTTGAAAAGCTGTCAAACTTTTGCCTCAATCAAAAACAAAAAGTACCTAATTTCATCTTCATAGTACATTGTGCTTTAAATTTGCTCTGTATCTAGTGTTACCCAATCTCCCAATCTTTATGTACTTAATCCAAACAACTTTACCACTGTGATCATTTTTGTCTTTTTTTATGTGCTAGCTATATGCTGTATTATGCCTATTAATTTTTGTTAAACTATCATTCAAGCTGTTAATGCAATCAATCTGAGCTACCTATGTGCTTTAATATACCTACAAATTTCTCTCATCTTTTTTTTTTCTTGCATGTACCTGTTATCATTTTTATAAATTTTGCTAGTATGGTATTTACTTACTTAAAATTTTCTTAGATTAAGGACCTGCCTGAAATGCTGCGCGTACTATTGGTTTTACAAGAATGTAATTACTATGCTATGTATACTCACAATCCCAATGTACAGTACCTTCGTGTATACATATATATATGACAATGTCAGACCACGGAGGAAAAAATGAAACAGGAAATTTCCTTAAGTACTTTCGTATATTAAATACATCTTCAGAAGGTCAAGATGTATGAAGATGTTTTTAAGCCTTCTGAAGATGTATTTAATATACGAAAGTACTTAAGGAAATTTCCTGTTTCATTTTTCCTCCGTGGTCTGACATTGTCACATTCTTAATCACGTGTTTATTTTCGTGATACACACACATATATATATATAAATATATATATATATATATATATATATATATATATATATATATATATATATATATATATATATATATATATATATATATATATATAAATAAAATAAAATAAAATAAAATAAAACAAAACATGTGACCACTATTGTTATGTCTCCTGCTAGACTGCATACAAAAATATTAGTGAGATAACAACAAGCAACTAACTATAAAATAACTATTCCCTGTAGATGTATAAACGTTAATAGGAGATCAAGACAAGAAACACATTGTAAGAGAGTTCACCAAGGTCATCACTGACCTTGTTCAAAAAAATGTGCCAAGAAGGCGTAAGAGAACTAGATATATGACACAAGCAGGTGGTGTTCAAGAGATGTGTAATTACTTCATTCATAATAATGTACTACTAGAAATCTTAGCCATGTATCCAAAGTTTGCTTTCTGTAGGTCATGTATGCACATGATTGTAAAGCTGCTGTCCAGTTCGATGGGAGTGTGAAGCAGGATTAGTAACTTCGTGACTAACTTCAATCTATCCATTGCCGTCCTTTTTGACCTGGAAAAGGCTTACGACACCACTTGGCGATATCATATTCTATCTCAACTTCATTCTTTTGGCCTTCGTGGTCATCTCCCTCTCTTTCTCCGCAGCTTCCTCTCTCGTCGTTCCTTTCGGGTGCGCCTTGGTACCGCTCTCTCTGCCTCTTTTCAGCAATACAAAGGTGTGCCCCAGGGTAGTGTTCTGAGCACTACTCTTTTTCTGGTTGCCCTCAATGGTCTTCTTTCCTCTCTTCCTTCTGGTGCCTTCTCCGCTCTCTATGTCGATGATCTTACCCTTTGCTGTCAGGGTGATGATTCGCCTCTCCTTCAGCGCCGGCTTCAACTTGCAATTGATGCCGTGTCGTCTTGGGCCACCGATCATGGCTTCAAGTTCTCTACTTCTAAGACTTGTGCCATGACTTTTACGCGGAAACGGGTCGTTCTTCGTCCCTCTTTGTCACTTTATGGTCATCCCCTTGAATACAAAGATTCCGCGAAGCTTTTGGGGTTATTCCATGACACTCGTTTGTCTTGGTCTCCCCATATCTCTTACCTCCGTGTTGAGTGCTCTAAGGCCCTTACCCTCCTTCGGGTCTTGTCCCATACTTCTTGGGGGGCAGATAGGCGCACTCTCCTTGCTTTACATTCCTCTCTCGTCCTGTCTAAGCTCGATTATGGTTGCCCTGCTTACTCTTCTACTCTTCGCCGTCTTGATGCTTTGCACCATACTGGGTTGCGCCTCAGTTCTGGTGCCTTTCGTTCGACTCCCGTCCTTAGCTTGTATGTTGACACTGGCTTCCTGTCTCTCCAGGACCGCCGTGATCGCTACTGTCTTCGCTATCTTGCGTGGTCCTTACAACGTCCTTCCTCTCGCCTTTGTCGTGCTTTAACTTTTACCCCTCCTGCGGTTCCTGTTCCTCTTCACCACCTCCCTCTTTCTGTCCGGTTATCTCGCCTCCAGGATTCTCTTTCCGTTCATATGTCTTTTTTTTTTTTTTTTTTTTTTTTTGATATATACAAGAGTTGTTACATTCTTGTACAGCCACTAGTACGCGTAGCGTTTCGGGCAAGTCCTTAATCCTATGGTCCCTGGAATACGATCCCCTGCCGTGAAGAATCGTTTTTTCATCCAAGTACACATTTTACTGTTGCGTTAAACAGAGGCTACAGAATTGCGCCCAGTAAATCCTCCCCGGCCAGGATACGAACCCATGACATAGCGCTCGCGGAACGCCAGGCGAGTGTCTTACCACTACACCACAGAGACTGCTTTGTCTAATGTTTCTCCTCGTGTTGTTCCTTCTTTGCCCCCATAGAGAGTCCCTCTTCCGCGGTTTTGTACTTCCTTGACCCGTATCACTAAAGCTTTTACCCCTCTTACGGTTCTAAAACGCCTTTTCCTTGAGCACTTTTCTTCTCACTCCTGCTCCGTTTCTGTCTTCACCGATGGGTCTAAGTCTGCAGACGGTGTTGGCTACTCTGTTGTTTTTCCTGATCGCACTTACATGTGTCGCTTACCTCCGGAGACTAGCATCTTTACAGCAGAACTTTATGCTATTCTCTATGCTCTTCGTCTCCTGCTTTCTCGTTGTCAGTCTTTCTTTGTAGTTGTTGTTGACTCTCGTAGTGCCCTCATGGCTCTCGGGTCCTTTAATCCGGTTCATCCAGTAGTTGTCGAGATCCAGCATTGGCTGTTTCTTGTTCACAGTAAATTTAAGTCTGTTGAGTTTTGTTGGGTTCCCAGCCATATTGGTGTGTCATTAAATGAGCGTGCGGATGCTGCTGCCAAGGAAGCTGTCCGCTCTTGTCCCATCTCTCGTAAAGGCATTCCGTATTCCGACTTTTACCCGGTTATCCATTCCTCCGTCCTTACCCGTTGGCAGGCTTCTTGGTTGTCTGTTACTGGTAACAAGCTACGTATTCTTAAATGTTGTTTCCTCGTGGCCGTCCTCCTTCCACCGTAACCGGCGGTGGGAAACAGCTCTGGCGAGGTTGCGTATTGGCCATACTCGCTTAACCCATGGTCACTTGATGGAGTGCCGCCCTGCTCCTTATTGTCCTAGTTGCATTGTCCCTCTTACAGTCATGCATGTCCTTCTTGAATGTCCTGACTTCCAGGACGAGTGTGTCTTGCTTTCCGACCGCCCCTCACGGTCACCTGTCCCTCAATAGAATTCTTGGTGACTCGGATACTTTTGATATCGTTCGCCTTATGCGTTTTTGTTCTCGTATTGGCATCCTTGGTGATATTTAGCGCCCTCTGATTATTTTGCGCATTTGATGGTGCTACATAGCCTTCCCGGTTTGGTGCCTTCTTTTGATAATTACTTACTTACTTTCAATCTATCCAATCTATAACTTCAAGTCTCACCCAATTTATCTCCCAGCCCCAAATCAGACTCTCCCAACTGTATCCTTCCCACCAATCTCCATTCCCTCCAACCGTATCTAGACCATCTGTCTCGATGGGATTAATATGGTACGATTTTGATTCTTGGCTAACTTCTTACCAGATGGTGGCTGGGGAGGCAGACTGCCTGAGTGCCTGACTTCAGACTCACATTTTTACTAATTGTGACTGGTTGCTACCATAACTGTGAATGCCTGACTGGTATAATTAACTGTGGCTTGTTGACTGTGAATGCCTGACTGTCTGTGAATGCCTAAGTTGATAAATAAATAATAAAATAATATTGAATAAGTTGATGAATAAAGAATAAACTACAGTACCTTTTGTAAGCAAACATCAGGGGTAAAATATAAAAAAAAAATTAATTGGTTGTCTAGGCCCAAACCACTAGTTAGCATCATTCCCTTGCCACCAATGGCAGCCAAAGCTACCAATGGGTCCCAGCCAGCAAATTCAGTCTTTCACACCTTGCCCAAGCAACAACCCGAGCACCGTGAGAGAGTGGGCAGGGTTGGAATGGAGAGCCACTGAAGAGGCCTTCTAAAAAAAATCAGTGTTGCTTTATTTTCGTTCTGTAGTCTTGTATTCTTAGACTTCCTTCTGCCTCAATTAAAGAGTCAGATTCTGGTCCTGGACTACATTAGGCACATATAATTCATTAGAGCCTTGTGTAGTGCCATGTGTAAGGTTCCAGGGTGGTAGTTCAGGGAGCCTTCAGAAACAGACACTCAATTGCTTTCAATGTGCAGTAGTATTTTTGCTTGCAAGTTGCTTTGCCTTTTATATCATTCCATTCCATTACAATACTCTATTTTTATTTTTTTTCATACTCTACCATTATATGAAGAATTAGAAATAAATTAGGGCATGAGGCTAATATGAAATATATTTAGAAATTCTTTATTAAAAAATATTTATTTAAGATGAGACAACCTAAATGTGATATTTATCCATTGACCTCCTGTACAACCATTTGAAAAAACTATCATTCTGCATCTTTGTACAAAATACTGAACTTGTAAACACAAAACCTGCAAAAACAAACAGTTACTCTACATGAATTTTGCTACATATCCACAGTATATTAACCTCATCTCACTATAGAACCACAAATATTATTTTACACTATTTTTCTCACAGGCATTAGTTTCTCTCTGTTGCTACATATTGCAATAGCTACTTATGCTTTAATATATAATGATCATTTTTAAATTAGTTAAGATATTTATTCTTAAATTTTGAAATACTGTACCTTCACAATTTTTTATTCTCCAATACAATCATTATAATTGAATTATTTTTTTAGGTCCATACAGTAATGCAACCCATCCTCCAAAAATGATTGAACTTATATCTACTATGGATACACCAGTAGTAGACAGATGTCTACATGAGTAGATATAGATGGAATATACAAAAAATAGAATAATGTATGCAAAAAACCAGCATTGAATGTAATGAAATGCCATTGATTGGGTGGGCTCTGGAGACTCCCTGAAGCTATCCGAACTGGTATGTGCTATATAGTGGAACCTCGAGTGACGAGCAGCTCCATCTACGAGCATTTCAAGTAACTAGCGAGCCACTCGCAGAACATTTGTCTCGATTGACGAGCTTTCGCTCAATGAGAAAACCACATGGTGCTTCCTACTGTAGATTTGAAGAAAGAAATCATAGCAAAGCACAAGCGTGGTGTCCGTGTGACTGATCTCGCCAGGGATTATGGCAGGTCCTCATCAACAATTTGCACCATCTTAAAGAAGTAAGAATTTAGGAAGCTTGAAGTGGCTAAAGGAGTTACCAAGAAACATCCAAAAATCCTAGATGTTGAAAAGCTACTGTTGGTCTGGATGAATGAAAGTCAATGACATGGCAATAGTATCTCTGAAGCTATTGTTTGTGCTAAGGCAAAGGTGCTGTATGTGGACCTTGTCAGGAATACACAAGGCACGTCGTCTGAAGATGAGGAGATATTTAAGGCAAGCCGGGGATGGTTTGAGAAATTTAGGAAGAGAGGTGGTATACACAGTGTTGTGTGACATAGGAAAGCTGCCAGCTCTAATAAAGCTGCTGCCGTAAAATTTGTGTCAGAGTTCCAGGAATTCGTTGCTAAGAGATGAATGCCAGCAAGGCAAGGCTGCCTCTTCCAGTGAGATCACGGAGGCGTTGGGAATGTTTGAAAAGGTGACCGCATTCTTGGAAAAGCATCACCCTGATAAAGCAGTGACAACACAGTGTGTGAACATGTTTAATGACAATTTTCTGTCGCGTTTTAGGGACATCTTAAAATGAAGACAAAAGCAATTGTCAACAGATACTGTACATTCTTTGGAAAGGTAAAGAAAAGACGAGCAAGTGATAGTGAACCACAACCCGGTCTCAGTGTGGTGAAATTCCCAAGAAGAGAGAGCCCGCCTGACTCAGAGGTGGATTATCCTTCCACACCGTAACCCCTCTCCTCCTTCCCACCTCCCCATCGTCTTCCTCAAGTCAGCAACGACTCTTCATAAGGTAATGTACATGTACAATTGAAAACAGTAAAACAAAACATTTATAATAATTACATATACAGTATTATATTTACCTTATAAAATGTCATATTGATGTTTTTGGGAGTGGAACGGATTAATTTTATTTACATTATTTGAAATGGAAAAAATAGTTTCGAAAGACAAGCGTTTCACATGACGGGGACCAGATTGTAGATTGCACAAGTTAACCAGACAGTGGTCTGTTTTGATTCATGTCCCTATTTCTGGGTCCTTTCCCAGTCGATGGCAATTATGACATACAAAGTGCTCATAGGCCATTGCTCACTGAGCCTCTCTGAGGGGACCAGGTTTTGGCTCATGGTTCCCGGTAGGCATAAGAACTCCTGTAACTGATGACCCCAAACTAATAAAGCACATATCAGTTTGGATACCTCCAGGGAGCCGACGAAACTCCTCACAGAAAAGACTGATAGAGCAATAATGTTTGACAAGCCAAACCTTTATTAACAGAACTATAAATCCTGAAGTATGACAAATGTAATCAAAACCTGCCAATCAGTAAATAGTATTCTATGAATTATAAGGACATAAGATAAAGTGATTACAAAAAGTTAATAGCTTTTACAAAATGTAATTGATAACTAACCAATATTTGTATTGCATTTTTCCCAGAAACTTCAGAGATCCTTAACTCCACGGCCTACTACCCCCCAGTCTTCCTGTGGCATTCTGTAAGTCATATTATCCATACGAATAACCTCAATGCCAGCCCCATAATAACTTATGACATAGTGTGAGCCATCAGCAGGTCCAACAGTTTGTGTAGCAATAAGAATAATATCAATCAGCTGCCCAAGAAACAAGAATCCCAGGGTACAAAATTTAGCAAGACCAACGGCATAGTAGCCAAGGTAAATGCGATCTATGCCAAACATTCCAAGAAATACCGAAAGGAGTAAGGCTGTTTCATAAGAATAGCCATTTGTGTATCTGAAAAAAAAATACAGGATTATTAAATTTTTTTTCCTCAAATATTTATATGCATCACATAAGTAAAAAACCTTCTTTCTTGAATATTTATATACATTACTGTATTTTATAATTATTGTACTGTAAAGTAAATAAATTCTATTCCTATATATGACATAGATTACTTGAAGAATACGTGACTTACCTGCATGGAATTTCACGTTCAAAAGTCCCATTATTAGTTTCTGTACAAACAATGCCAGGGGCTGAGGTACACACAACCTTGGTACGCCCAGCTTTGGTACACCCTCGAGGCTGCTGCGTTCGTGGATCTATGTTAGCTTCTGTGCACAGAAACTGACCAGCTAGTAGAGAGGAGCAGTTGGTGTAGTACTCTCCACATACTCCAGCAGCCATAAAGAGACCAAGCAATGCCCATATTATGGAAGAATTATAATGCCTTCCAACTGGAGTTCTCATTAGGCACTTCAGTAACATTCTTATCTCTTCAGTGTGTTGAGACAAAGGAGACTCACCCAGACAATTTATGCATTGCTGTTCTTGAGATCTTCATGCTACATGCATAAGCAAAACTGAAAGAACAGAATTTTAATATTAGTTTTTCTAAATTTTCTGACAACTTCTAACAAAATTAAAGAATCTTCACGTAAAATTAAATGAGTAACTCATAAAAACATCCCATTACTGCCAATTAACTGAAAATAAACTTTATCAAGTTGAAGAATAAAATCATACTCAAATTCATTGATAAATTAAAAAGTCAAGTATTGAATGTAGTGAAACACCCTATTATAGTGAGCATCCAATGGCACCTAAGCTTAACTCTAATTTAAATAAACCTTAGCCACTACACCAGGTCTCGGACACATAATTGTCGCTTCCTGAGAGCAAAGACCAGAATCTGGCTCATTTTACAAAGTGAGGAGAGCAGGGGGAATCAGACATAAACCTGAAAATTTATGTTCCACTGACCGGAAGCTGCCACAACTACATGAGGGCAAACCAGGCTCACCTACAGATAACCAAACAACTCACAAAGCCAGATGAACAAGGCTCTGTTCATCTCCCATGCTGCCAAGATGAATGGAAACGAGAAGCCAAAAGTGAGAATGGACAACACATCAAAAGGGAACAGCATTGACGACTAAAACCAAAGAAATCAGAAGTTAAACTGTCTTCAGAAACTGGCCCCATAGGGAATGTCAGCTGCCTCTACAGAGGAGACATTGTAATGACAGGGGTGCAACCCGAAAGAGAGGGCATAGCTCCACAGGAGAAAGGTGCACTGAAGACTTAACAAGACTACTGTAAACATAATACCTGAAGGAGATGATGTCATAGGCATGGAGACCATCGACAACATTCAGCACTGGGAGAGCTGAAAATAAAGCCCCAGCCAAGGGCTAATGCAACCTGGAACAGTCTGTTTGCTGAAAGAAATGAAGAGGAAAATGATGACAGATTATACCTCAGGCAAAAATGGGGTACACACCACACAGCCCTAGAAGTGGTGAAAGAATGTCCCCTAGGGAAAGTGGAAAAGCTCTATCTGACAGTTGGAGCTCAGCAAATCCATATCATCCAATGGGAAAATCCTGGACCATCCTAACACCAGCTGGAAACCCGAGGTGCAGATGCAACAGGGCCAACCAAGGAAGAGAAAGGGAGGCTTACCTGGAAACCAAGACTAGACCCTGTCAAGCCAGACCCCAAGAATGCCCCAAACAGGTACATTCTCCAGTTGATAAAAAATCTGAAATAAGCCACCTGGAAAAGACCCCGAACCCTGACCAGCAGCCAGACCATGCAACTGGAGATTCTAAGTAGCCAGTCACAGAGGTAGGGCAGAATGCAGTCTGGGGAAAAGCTGGGGCCCATGGGAACAGCTGGGGGCCCAAGGAAGACCAAAATGATAAAGAGCCCAAAAGGGGAGTGAGTGGTGCCCCTCACTGAACCCCAACCAATCCCTGAACTCAGGGAGGAATCAGACATGCAGAGGCTTTCCATACATACAGCAACTAGCACGTACAGCCACTAGCACATACAGCCACTAGCACGTACAGCCACAACACGTATAGCCACTAGCACGTACAGCCACTAGCACGTACAGCCACTAGCACGTAAAGCAACTAGCACGTACAGCCACAACACATACTGCCACTAGCACGTACAGCCACTAGCACATACAGCCACAACACGTACAGCCACAACACGTACGGCCACAGCACGTACAGCCACTAGCACGTACAACCACTAGCACGTACAGCCACAACACATACTGCCACTAGCACGTACAGCCACTAGCACGTACCGGTCCGTCTAATTACTGCAAAGGTACCACAAGCTACTCAAGCTTCACTAAGCTTCCTGTCAATACGTTAGGAATGAATTAATATTTACTCATTATAATGTTGGTGCTGAATGTACAACACGAAAAAACAATTTTAATCTGAAAAAGTATCTTTTTATAAAGAAATTAGACAAAAATAAAGAGCTGGTGACGCCAAATCAAGTCGACGATCCAAGCGTCGGTTAGGTTTGGTTAGGTTAGATCAACCTAACCTATCATATTTATTCATTACTAATGCATTGCCAGGAAGCTTTGTAAAGCTTGTGTAGCTTGTGGTAGCTTGTGGTAGCTTGCGGTAATTAGACGGACCCACACATACAGCCACTCGCACGTACAGCCACTAGCACATACAGCCACAACATTAAATTTTAAATTTTGCCCCGAGGAGCGAGTTTATTGGGCAGCGCCACTCATCTTGTGAGACACAACATGTACAGCCACTAGCACGTACAGCCACAACACGTACAGACACAACACGTACAGACACAGCACGTATAGACACAGCACGTACAGCCACTAGCACGTACAGCCACTAGCACGTACAGCCACAGCACGTACAGCCACAGCACGTACAGCCACAACACGTACAGACACATCACGTACAGCCTCTAGCACGTACAGCCACTAGCACGCATAGTCCTAGTTGTAGTAAAGTGACATTCAGTAACATTGTAACATAACAACAAAGCAACATTCAGTAAATTATTAATGGTCATTTGACAAGCGTGATATTACAGGCTTAATGACTCAACATATTAATAACTACCTTTATTAAATGTTGTTGTATTGATAGCAACGAAGATAGGTGAAGCTGAAACCTTGGATGTTTGTTGTTGTTTTGAGAGCAAACGCCACCATCCAACACATCTCACGTCCCGGCAGCAAACACGACTATCTTACAACACTACAACGCTCACCCTCCGTCACTATGTGATGGAGTGCGAAAAGATATGTGTATTTAGAGACAATTCTATAACCAATGTTCCAGCGATGTGTCAATATTTCATTCAAAATGATCTGCTACCAGAAATTTTAGCCAAATATCTCCAGTTTGCTAACTGTAGGTAGTAACTAAGTGATTGTAACCTATCCACCGCTGCCCACTGGATGGGGGGGGGCGATGTGCAGGACAAACATATAACTTGTGACACTAGCTCTCCACATATGTCAGTTGCTTAAGTTAGAAACTGTACTTGAGGTCGATCTCGAACCCATTGATGATGTGACGACTTATACTGAATTTTGTAACTAGCTCATCAAGATTGTAACTTGCTTAGCTAAATGAATTGTGGGGTTCAGTCCCTGAGCCCATTATGTGCCTCTGTAACCCTTTCCACTACCGCCCACAAGATGGGTATGGGGTGCATAATAAATGAACTAAACTAACTAAACTACAACGCTCAGTACTAAAACGTTTATCATACGCATTTCATCGGAAATATTTAGATAAAACCACTTAAAACGGAAATTTATAATAATAGCATTATTATTAGAAGCAGCAGTTAGTTTAGTTCATTTATTATGCACCCCATACCCATCTTGTGGGCGGTAGTGGAAAGGGTTACAGAGGCACATAATGGGCTCAGGGACTGAACCCCACAATTCATTTAGCTAAGCAAGTTACAATCTTAGAAGCAGCAGCAGCAATAATAATAATTAGTTTTCACGGGGAAAGGCAGCAGAGCTATACATATGTATGTGTGAACTTACCTATCAATATTTTACTTTATTTATTTATATATACAAGAGTTCCTACATCATTTGTACAACCACTAGCAATAAGTACACTACTGGCTGGCTTGTTTGCAGGCCTTCATACTCCCTCAACTAGCTATCAAGTAACTATAAAAAGGTATATATCAAATCAAATCAAATCAAAATGTTTATTCAGGTAAAGTACATACATACAAGGTGAGATGCAAACATTGATGGATTTATACATAGAGCTAGTACATACAATACAATACAATACAATACAATACAATACAATTTTATTTAGGTAAGGTACATACATACAATAAATATTTACAAGGATTGTTTAACTTATAGGTATAGCTAGTACATACAATGCCTAAAGCCACTATTACGCAAAGCGTTTCGGGCAGGAAAAACACTAAAGACTAAAACTTAATACTAATTGAGGTTAAAGTATAAAATGTGTTGAGAAAATAAAAAAATAAAAAAGGGGGGAGCATGGCAGAAAAACAGCAAAAATACAATTTGGTCGGCAGACAGCAAAGTTTAAAAATAACAGACATGGGTTGACATTATAGGGGTAAGGTAGGTTACAGGGAGTTAATTAGGTAGTGTTTAGTTTTTATCTTAAACTGGTTGAGAGAGGTACAGTCTTTAACATGGTTGGGAAGGTCATTCCACATTCTTGGTCCTTTGATTTGTAGAGTATTTCTAGTTTGATTAAGTCGTACTCTTGGAATATCAAAAAGGTATTTGTTTCTGGTGTGGTGCTCATGGGTTCTGTTACAACCTTCAATGAAGCTTTTAAGGTCAGGATTGGCATTACAGTTCAGCGTTTTATATTTACAAAGTTTGTTGGCTTTATAGATAGAGCTAGTACATACAATGCCTAAAGCCACTATTACGCAAAGCGTTTCGGGCAGGAAAAAACACTACTGACTAAAGCTTAAAACTAATGGGTAAAAAGAAAAAAATGCGTTGAGTACAAATAAAAATAGAGGTAAAAGAGGGGGGAACATTGTTGAAAAAACAGCACAAATACAATTACAAATTATTACAGAAAATTACATTAAAACAGCGTTGATTTGAAAAACAAAAAAAAAAACAAAAAACATACATGGGTTGACAATAGAGGGGTAAGGTAGGTTACAGGGAATTTATTAGGTTTTTACTTCGTTTTTAACTTAAACTGGTTGAGAGAGGTACTGTCTTTAACATGGTTGGGAAGGTCATTCCACATTCTGGGCCCCTTGATTTGTAGAGCATTTCTGGTTTGATTAAGTCGTACTCTAGGAATATCAAAACTGTATTTATTTCTGGTGTGGTGCTCATGGGTTCTGTTACAACCTTCTATGAAGCTTTTGAGATCAGGATTGGCATTACAGTTTAGCGTTTTATATATGTATAATACACATGAGAGAATGTGCAGTGACTTAATGTCTAACATATTCAGGGATTTGAGTAGGGGTACCGAGTGATGTCTGGGGCCAGAATTGGATATTGTCCTAATAGCAGCTTTGTGTTGAGTAATTAGAGGACGTAAGTGATTTTGGGTAGTAGAGCCCCAAGCACAAATACCATAGTTGAGATATGGATAGATAAGGGAGTAATAGAGAGTCACCAGGGCAGGGCGTGGTACATAATATCTGATCTTAGAAAGAATGCCCACAGTTTTTGAAACTTTTTTTGATATGTTTAGAATGTGTCCCTGGAAATTCAGCTTGTGGTCAATGAGAATGCCAAGGAATTTGCCATCTAATTTGTTACAAATTTGGGTATTGTTTATTTTGAGATTTATTTGATTAGAGGATTTATTGCCAAACAGAATATAGAAAGTTTTGTCAATGTTAAGGGTGAGTTTGTTGGCAGTTAGCCACAGATGGACTTTATTTAGCTCAGTATTTACTGTGGCATTTAGAGCAAGGGGATCAGGACTGGAGTAAATGAAGGTTGTGTCGTCAGCAAATAGGATTGGTTTGAGGTGTTGGGAGGCATTTGGAAGGTCATTAATGTAGATGAGAAAGAGGAGAGGGCCAAGTATGCTGCCCTGGGGAACACCAATGTTGATGGGTAGGGTGGGAGAAATTGTATTATTCACAGAAACACATTGGAGCCTGTCAGTAAGGTAGGATTTGAGGTATTGTAGGGAGTGTCCTCTGACACCATAATGATGTAATTTAAGAAGAAGGTTTTGGTGGTTGACAGTATCGAAAGCTTTACGCAGGTCCACAAATAACCCAACAGGGAACTCATTTTTATCAAGAGCTGTATGAATCGAGTTAAGCATACTAATAAGTGCATCGTTAGTGCTTTTTTTGGGCCTGAAGCCATATTGGCAAGGGCTAAGTATATTGAGTTTGGCTAGATATGAGTAAAGCTGCTTATAGATTAGTTTTTCAAAAATTTTTGACAAGTTTGGCAGGATTGATATAGGTCTGTAGTTGTTAACATCTGTGAGATCACCACATTTGTGGACAGGCGTTACTCTCGCTTTTTTTTAGAATATCTGGAAAGGTTTGGAGTTCAAGTGACTTGTTGAAGAGCAAAGCAATAGCAGGGGCTAAAGATCTGGAGGCTTTTTTTGTAGATTAAAGTTGGTATCTCCTCAAGGGCACCAGACTTGGTTTTAAGTGAAAGGATTATCTCATTGACGTCAATGGAATTAATAGGCTTTAGGTACAGAGACTGGGGATAGTTCCCTGTAAGATAGTCCTTAATGTCAGTACTGGAAGATGGAATATAATATTATTTATATAATACACATGAGAGAATGTGCAGTGACTTAATATCTAACATATTCAGAGATTTGAGTAGGGGTACCAAGTGATGTCTGGGGCCAGAGTTGGATATTGTCCTAATAGCAGCTTTGTGTTGAGTAATTAGAGGACGTAAATGATTTTGGGTAGTAGAACCCCAAGCACAAATACCATAGTTGAGATAAGGATAGATGAGGGAGTAATAGAGCATCACCAGGACAGAGCGAGGTACATATCTGATTTTAGAAAGAATGCCAACAGCTTTTGAAACTTTTTTTTATATATTTAGAATGTGTTCCTGGAAATTCAGCTTGTGGTCAATGAGAACGCCAAGGAATTTGCCATCTATTTTGTTACAAATTTGGGTATTATTTATCCTGAGATTTATTTGATTTGAGAATTTATTGCCAAACAAAATATAGAAAGTTTTGTCAATGTTGAGGGGTGAGTTTGTTGGCAGTTAGCCAAACATGGACTTTATTTACCTCAGTATTCACTGTTACATTTAGAGCAAGGGGGATCAGGACTGGAGTAAATGAAGGTTGTGTCGTCAGCAAATAGAATTGGTTTGAGGTGTTGGGAGGCATTTGGAAGGTCATTAATGTACATGAGAAAGAGGAGAGGGCCAAGTATGCTGCCCTGAGGAACACCAATGTTGATGGGTAGGGTGGGAGAAATTGAATTATTCAAAGAAACATACTGGAGCCTGTCAGTAAGGTATGATTTGAGGTATTGCAGGGAGTGACCTCTGACTCCATAATGATGAAATTTAAGAAGAAGGTTTTGGTGGTCGACAGTGTCAAAAGCCTTACGCAGGTCCACAAATAACTCAACAAGGAACTCATTTTTATCAAGAGCTGCATGTATCAAGTTAATCATATTAATAAGTGCATCGTTAGTGCTTTTTTTGGGTCTGAAGTCATATTGACAAGAGCTAAGTATATTGTGTTTGGCTAGATAAGAGTAAAGCTGCTTGTAGATTAGTTTTTCAAATATTTTTGACAAGTTTGGCAGTTTATGTAACAGCGTAGGCCCTCCAGCTATTTGTCACAGGACCAGCCATTTTAGCTTACTATGTCCCAGGATGCCTCTTCAGTTTTTCTATGCCCAGCATGAGCCACTGCAGTTATTCTGTTCCAGCGTGGGCCACTTCAGTTCTTTATGTCCCAGGGTGAGCAACTTCAGCTTATTATGCCTCGGCTGGGCTACTTCCGGCTGATGGGGTTCCAGCCGATGATCCAGCAGCTGATGTTCTAGCTGGCGGTGTTACAGCAGACGATGTTCCAGCCGCCAATGCTCCAGCTCCCGATGTTTCGGCTGATGAGGTTTCAGCTGATGTTCCAGCTGGCGGTATTCCGGCTGAAGTTGCTCCAGCCGCCGATGCTCCAGCTGCTGATGTGGTCCCCGCCGATGATACAGCAGCTGATGGCCCAGCTAGTGGTGTTA